CATGAAAAAAGTTTTGGTTTTTGGAGTATTACAGATTTTGGAATTCCAGATAATGGAGATATTACTATTTATTTGTTGCATTTATGTTTTGTTTTTTCTCTGTGAAGATCAGTGTGGCTTCATATTTGCCACAATAAATGAGTACGAGATAATGCGTTTTGTCCAGGACCATCTAGCATGCTTTCTAGGCTCTTCATCAAAGTCTAAGGGCCTGTACAGACTGCCAGAAATAATCCAGCTTGAGACTATTTTAATTGCCCTGGCTCAGTGCTAGGGAATTATGGGAACTGTAGTTTATTGTGGCACCAGAAAAAACTACAGTTCCCATGATTCCCAAGCATTGAGCTAGGACAGTTAAAGTGGCCTCAAGCTGGATTATTTCTGGCAGTCTGTACAGGTCCTAACGCTTTATATTAACACTCAAGCTTCCATACTATGAACTCACTGTTCAACCCTTGTTTGCTTGCTTTTTAAAATTGGCCAGTTTGGAACATACAGTATAATTTTTCCTTTGGCTAGGTTAGACATATTTCAAAATTAGTTTGGTCATGATAGTGGGGACCACCATTTGAATAACCTTACCAAGCCAGTTTGTTTTCATGTCAAGAATACCTTCAGTATTAAAATGACACAATTTACTCTTGGGAAAAGTAAGTAGTTTTAAGAACCACATCCTATAGTCTGATGTACAAGAGGTTATAATTGGCTCAGAGTTTATTTATTATTCAATTTATTTAAAGTATTTCTGTATCACATCCCAGCCCACAAGGGCTTCCCATGGCAATGAACAAATAAAAAACAATTAAAACAATACAGAGACAACATGTAAGCCACTTGCCCCCAACAAGCTGAGTATTCATTTTAGTGACCTCCGAAAAGATGGAAGGCTGAGTTGACTTTGGAGCCTCTCAGGATCGAATTCACAAATGTTGTGGCTGCAGTACTGGCATTTAACCACTGTGCCACAAGGGGTCCCTAATGTCTCATCTTCTTGTTTTGTGACTGTATGGTTGACTTCTTTTTTGACAATTAGATGAAAGTATCAATTTTATAGGAGTTGAAACTGCATTGATATCCCTACCTTCATGTATTTTGAATTGGAATGCATAGGAATCTGGCTTTCATGAATATAAAAAGGGTAGATGGAGGAGGACATGATT